GGCGTGGTAGCGCACACCTGTAATTCCAGCTACTTGGAAGGCTGAGGCAGAAGGATTGCCGGAGCCCAGCAGGTCGAGGCGGTGGAGGCCGGGAGCGGCCACTACACTCCAGTCTGGGCAACAGAGTGAGACTCCAACTCAAAAAAAAAATACAAAAAATCATGTTAATATGCAGTGCTTTGTGGAGTAGTCTGAAGCAGAGAATTTAAAGAAAAATCCTTACAGAATCTCTGTGCCCAAAGGGTAGAGGCAGAGAAACTGAAATCAGAAAGAAAACAAGCACCTGTGCCTGACACTGCCTGAGAATGAGGAGGGTCCTGAGGTGACGGGGAAGGGGTGTTAAGGACCACCCACATACACCCCCATACAAGGAAGAGAATCCCGAGGTGATGGTGGGTGAAGACCACCCATGAGGAGGAGGATCCTGGGTGATGAGGGGGTTAGGGCAACCCACATGAGGGTCCTAGGGTCACTAGGGAGTGGTGAGAATCACCCACATGAGGCGACACTGTAGTCCTCAGGGCTGTAAACCACACTAGTGCTTGCACAGGCTCCAGATCCCTCAGCATTTCTTGAGTGTGGATTGGGGGGGGTCATAAGTGAGTCTTCTTTGGAAATAGGAACTTCGAAACTGGGGATGCCCCTGGAAGGAACTAGCATCACCTGCAGGGCCTGAGGCTGCCCAGCACTTTGCTGGCCCTTCTCTTCCTACAGCAGGACCCACCTAGCACCTGTGGCTATGACCCCCTTTCTCCTTCTCTGCTCCATCCTGGGACTAGGAGACAGCAGCAGCTGGGAGGTTGCACTTCCTATGGGCTCCAGTACTGCAGGCCTGCTCCAAGAACCTAAGAGACACACACACACTCCTCGGTGACCTGGGAGGCAGGGCAACAATCGCCCATGACACAGATGGGGAGATTGTGCTCAGGAGGTGATAGGGCTGGGGCAGAGCCAGCATCTGCACCCAATAGCTAGGTCCAATACTTGAGAGTACCAGGACAGACAGCAATTTCCTCCACGTCAGTGCGTGTGTCCGTCGGTCAGCACAAACCACTGTCCAATGGCCCCTTCCCATTTTCAGGGGGGTAAGTGATCCAGGACTGGCCAGTCAGAGGACACCAGCCCCCTGGCCACAGACACTAGTCCAGTGAGACCTACACAGGGCCACATTGTTGGACTGAAGAGCTGAGAGCAGGGGCATCTCTGCCAGGTGAGTGCTCCCACCTTCTTGTTTGGTTGACATGCCCTTTAGCTGTGCCTTCTGTCACCTGCAACCATGAGGACTCCAAGTGAACCAGCCAGTAACGGCAAAACTGATATAGTGCCCATTAGCAGCACTTGGATTTTAGCTTGATCTACCTGTACAAAGACTGCATCCAGGTGATCATTTCACAAGTCACAGAACATGGCTGCTCTTGGATACAGAAGTAGTCAGTGGAGAGGGAATGGCATGAGCAACCACAGTTACTGAAGTCAGCACAATCACCCCAGGGTCCAGCACCAGAGGCAGACTGTGCTCATTCCGGTTCTCTAGAGTGCCGAAAGGCATCTACAGACATGTAAGTAAGGAAAGTAGGTGAGTCAGCTCCCGTCACTGTCCCCTGCCAACATACTAGGCAGTAGAGGCCTGCAGCAGTCCTCTCCTGAAGCCTGATTAGGATAGGCACCAACCAGGCAGAACAAGCAGTCCCCTGAGCTATGCACCCCCTTCCTGGCTGTCCCTGCAGATGCCCTTCCAGTTCTGGAAAAATCTGTCAGACGACTCTCCCACCGATATATTGGCTGACACCTCAGGGGATGGTCTCTACCTGGTGAGGCGCCTGTCACATACTCTGACTCTTGCAGAGTAGTCAGATTTTAACTGTCCTAAGCTCTTTGAAAAACTATTTTATTTGCAACAGTATCCCAGCAGCCTTATGCCAGAGGTTTACAGAGCAGCACTGAAAGTCTCTTGAGGATGTTTACAGATGGAATCTGCACTGGGCTTCTGCTGGGTGTCCAAATTGCAGATGACAGTCACTGTCTCAAGCCCAAGACACTTCTGCTCCATGAGGTCACTGTGGAACACAGCCCCAAAAGCTCCAATAACACCGAAGACAGCAGCTGGCAGCGGTACCAATGCCCACCAATTGCCAGAGCTTCCTAGTACTGGCCTCCCCCATGACACAGACTTCAAGGGCTCCACGCACACAACAAGCCAACTGGGGCCTGAGGCACCTTCAGAACAACCTCCACAGCAACCACTTCCTTTCAGCCCAAGCATGGAAGGACTCCTGCCCATGTTCTGGGACAACTATGACAGCACTTTCTTCTAAACAAGAGGTGGAAAAATCCCATCCCAGAGACTATTTTTAAGTATTCCCCTACTCAGTTCAAAGAAATTATAGTCAGATCAGAGCACAAATAAATGGAATGCTATTATCTACTTTAAGGATTTCGAAACATTAGGAGTCACCCTGAACTAGGCCTCTGAAAGACACAAATAAAGCGATTCACGTGTTATCCACTCTCTGCTGACGCTCTCCAGATGACTGACAATGTCACCTCTGGTGCCTCCCAGACCATGAGGAATTCATGTTCCCACCAGCACAGCCAATATCACACCCTCCACTGAAGAGCTAAGTATAAGCGAGCTCTGAGAACCCGAGAGCTGGAACTAAGTATGCAGAGGAAGGAAGGAGAACAAAAATCAACCCCACAAAAATTCACCCACAACAAAACCAGGTCAGGTAGCACTATCCACCACGCTCACTGCTGAAAGTCAAGGAGCATCTTCTAGTCAGAGATGCTGCCCACGCCCAGCTCAAGTCTCTTATAGGGCCACTTCAGGCAGTAGGGAGTTCTGCGTGTGGTACTGTGGCTGAGTGAGTTTATCAGCTATTACACCCCATTTCACAAGAGTTTAGAAGACAGTTTCACTTGTACCTGAAAGGAGAAAAGCTGTGTTAAGAAAAAATAACCAGCAAACACCAACACAAGGTTTGTGCCGGGTACGCACAGCCCCCACCCCAACAGCATCAGGAGGTGGAGAACAGGAGGAAGGAGGAGCGGACGGCACAGGCACTCACAGGTCCGACTGGGTCACTTTCTCATTCCACTCTCCAAGTTTCTCAGAAGTTTTCACATAGCTAAAAATAGAAAGTCTGTGGTGAATTATTTAGAAGAATGATTTCAACCCAGGCTTCAAGCTGCAGGTGAGATTCCAAGGAAAAAAAAGACCAGCTGGTAGGAATACCAATTCTCCAGCCTGCTGGACAACAGGGTCCACTGCCGTGACCAGTCTGTGCAGTCCCAGGAGACCGGGGAGGAGTCAGTAGGGCAGAACAGACCGCTACCTGGAGGGAGCCCCTGGTCTCTCACTAGAAGAATACTCTTGGGGAATGGTAAGAAGCTGGAGGGCACAGCCTACAGCCCCAAAACAAGTCCCTGACAGTCGCCCTTGGGATTCAAAACTTATGATATCCTACGACAAAAACATGGGCTTTTCACAGGTGGGATTTATAAAGTGTGATTCAATGTGACTCAATTTACAAAATATGACTTTTTACAAGACGTGGCTTCTGAAAAACATTGACCCCCTCCCCCAAAGAACATGTGTCAGAGAAGCTATATAGCCAGAGCCAAGTTAGAAAGCAGGGCTCCCTAAATTCTGAGAGCTGAGTCATATCTAGGTCAGAGATTCCTGGGTTATGGGACCACATAGTCACGGAGAGTCAAAAGTCCCAGGGTTATGGAACCACGTGGTCATGTCTGCATCAGAGACTGTGACAATGCCACACTCATAAGAACTTGAGTCCACTTCTAGAGAGGACTACAGAAAAGCCACTCTCACTAAGGACCTAATCAGCACTCTCTCAAATCTGAACCCTGAAACACATTTTTCCTGTCAGTTTCTGCTGGGACACCTAACTAGTGTGTCTATCACCTTCATGTAGATACCAAGTTCTCTGAATAGACAGAGGTGCGGTTCTCAGGTCAGGACTTGGCCTCTCGCTGGCTCTTTCCCAACAAGCTCACTAGATCCCCGTTGCTGCACCTCATCCCTGAGCATGAACATCCTCCACCTGTAGGTGAGGTAGGGCCCTCCGGCCTCCAGGAGCCTCCCTGCTGTGGGCAGATACCTACGCGTTAGACACCTGCACGTCGTGCCAGCTCCTGGACAGGTTCTGTTTCAGCCCCCCCAGGGTGGAGAGGCCCAGCCTCCTCTTGAGCTCTCCACAGTGCCTCTCCTTGGCTGCCAGGACCTGGCGCAGAGTGATGATTTCCTCTTCCACCTGCAAAGTGTGCAGTTGATATGAGCCACCACTATTGCAGGAAGTGACCAACATCCTTGTACACGCCACCATGAGAATTATATAAGAACATTCCAGTCACAGAAACATAACTCATCTTAGAAATGGAGTCTACAGCAGACAACTGTTTTTACCTGGTACTAGAAGCCCGACTCTGGAGAACTGTCTCATCTCCCTGAGCCAAGTGGCTCTGGCGGGGCTACCAGTGTCCACTCAGGGTCATGAGGACCGGCCCAGGATGACCAAGTGAGGCCTAGCAGAGCTATTCCCTGGGACTAGACAAAGGTGTTAGAAGAGAAAAGCCCCAGGTCAGGCGCAGTGGTTCAAGCCTATAATCCCAGCACTTTGGGAGGCCAAGGCGAGAGAATTGCCTGAGTCCAGGGGTTCGAGACCAGCCTGGGCAACTTGGTGAGACCTCTTCTCTACAATAAATCAAGAAAAATTAGCCAGGCATGGTGGCACATGTCTATAGTTCCAGCTACTTGGAAGGCTGAGGCGGAAGGATCACCTGAGTCTAGCAGGTCGAGGCTGTGGTGGCTGTGAGTGTGCCACTATACTCCAGCCTGGGTGACAAAGTGAGACTTCGACTCAAGGCAAAAAAAAAAAAAAAAGAGAAAGAAATCCCTTTTTCCTCTGGGCTCTGGGTCTGGGCTTAGAAGCTGGAACTGCTGGCAGCCTTGGGGGTATGCAAGAAGCAGCACACACAGAAAGATGGACAGAGACCCAGGTGACAGAGAAATAGCCCTATGACAACACCTGTGCTCCTGGGGTCAGTTCCAGGCCTTGGCAAAAGCTAAAAAGTACACAAGCCAAAAAACCAAGTAAACTTTTGCACTCAAGGCAGTTTGACTGGGTAACAGAAAGAGTCCCAATAATAAAGGCTTGAACTTTCAGTTCTTAAATTAAAAAAAAAAAAAAAAAAAAGAATGTGACTTCTGAAGGGAGCATCTTTTAAAGTTTTACCACTTTACAACAGATTCTCAATATTTTCAGCTCTTATGTGAACAGCTATTCTAAAAAAAAATCCCCTTCCTTAAAAAAGGGATTGTTTGAGGCTAGGTGCAGTGGTGCATGCCTGTAATCCCAGAACTTTGGGAGACCAAGGTCTCCCAATAGTGGTGGCTCATATCAACTCCTTGGACTCAGGAGTTCAAGACCAGCTTAGGCAACATACCAAAACCTCATCTCTACAAAAAAAAAAAAAAATTATTCGGGCATGGTGGCACATGCCTGTAGTCTCAGCTACTTGAGAGGCTGAGGCAGAAGGATCGCCTGAGCCAGGGAGGTTGAGGCTGTAGTGAGTTGTGATCACTAAGTTGTGATCATTGCCTGGGCAACAGAGTGAGACCCTGACTAAAAAAAAGGTGGGGGAGGGGGCGACTGTTTGGAATAAGGCACTGAAAAACTACTTAGAGCACTGTTATGTCACAGGTTTTGCTTTAGAAAATAGCCAAAACAAAAAATAATTTTTTAAGCCAGGCTCGGTGGCTCAGCCTGTAATCCTGCACCTTTGGGAGACTGAGGTGAGTGGATTGCCTGAGCCCACGGTTCGAGACCCACCTGGGCAACTTGGCCAGACCTCATCTCTACAATAAATCAAAAATTAGCCGGGTGTGGTAGCGCGCCTGTAGTTCCAGCTACTTGGAAGGCTGAGAAGGAAGGATCGCCAGAGCCCAGCAGGTTGAGGCTGTGGTGGCCGGGAGAGGTCACTGCACTCCAGTCTGGGCGACAGAGTGAGACTCCAACTCAAAAATAAAATAAAATAAAATAAAATAAAAATAAAAATAATTTTTTAAAATATAGGATCATCTAAAGCCAAACTACTACCAGTCATCTAGCAATTACAACCAATTACCAGAATGATCCCATGAAATAGTGCCACAACTGACAGGACTCAAGGGCACATGGTCTATTTGTCTGGAGGAGCATGCAAATTTAAAACTATATTTTTTGGGGAGGCTAAGGTGAGAAGATTGTCTGAGCCAAGGGGTTCAAGACCAGACTGGGCAACTTGGCAAGACCTCATCTCTACAATAAATAAAAAAATTAGCTGGGCATGGTGGCTCATGCCTGTAGTTCCAGCTACTGGAAGGCTGAGGCAGAAGGATCACATAAGCCCAGCAGGAGGAGACTGTGGAGGCTGTGATCGTGCCACTGCACTCCAAACTGGGCGACAGAGTGAGATTCTGACTCAAAAAAAGAAAAGAAAACTTTGTTTTTTATTTATTTTTATATAGAGACAGGGTCTCACTATGCTGCCCAGGCAATGATCTAGCACTCCTGGCCTCAAGTGTTCCTCTTGCCTACACCTCCCAAAGTGCTAGAATTACAGGTGTGCATCATTGTACCCACCCTGAAAATTTTAAAAGATACAGAACTTTACCTTGAAATTCAACTCTGAAAAAGACCTTATGGTTTTAGTTTCTAAATTAACATATTCTGAAATAAAATGCAAAGTCACGTCTCCTTAGACTTCTTGCTACTTTCCCTTAATCTTCTTTCAATCTAGAAATAGCTGTGATGTCTTTGGGATCTGAAACCTGGTCCTCAGGTTCAGCTGCACAACCAGCTCTGTTCAGACCTAGACCTGGACCCAGAGCATATCGGGATGGGGCTCTGCCCGGACCTAGGCCTGGACTTGGAGTGTATCAGGACAGGGCTTGCCTCTGAAGACAGAGCAAGGGCCTGCAACAAGCAGGGCTCCATACTCTACAAATCCATTTTCCCAGATTCTGGAATCCTAAGTGAGTCACTATTAGTGAGTCACTATTAGCATGCATCACAAGGTGAAGAGAAAACTCTTGGTGGTTGGTTTGAATAAAAATTATGCTTGGAGGTTTTTGTTCTTAATTCCTCGTTTACTCTTAAGGGCTTTTCACTTAAAGATCACTTTGCAAAATAAATATTTTTAAAAGAAAAATTAAGATTCAGGGCAGATGGATTCATGGGGTCTTGGAAATGACTATTAAGTGTTAATTCCAACAGAGACACTCCCAGCAGGCAGCATGTTCAGAGAGGCCATCCCTGTGTGGCCACTCTTCTCATAGGGCACTTATGAGGAGCCAAGTACAAAGCTGGGAGGAGGAGATCAGGCCCTGTTTCCACTGCCAGGTGACTCCGAGCCCAATACATGGAGCAAGGCACATACAAAGAACAGTGTTCAGTGGGACCACACAGCAAGGTGGCGATCCCCAGGGCAATTCCTCCAGAGGATGGCCAGTGCTCTGACCCCTCATCAACCCAAGAGGACCTTAACTTATGGTCACCCCAGGACAGTCAGCCAAGCCACAGCACCTTGGTGAGCTCCGCCCTGAGCTCCTCCTCCTCAGCCTCCGTCAGACCCTCAACAGCAGGAGTCCGGGCAGCCACACCTGTGTCGACAGGGACATCGGTCATGGAGTCAGACAGCAGACCTTTGTTAGGAGAATTCAAGTTGATATCTGCCAGAGACAAATAAGTCCAGAAAGTCTCAAGTAAGTTACCAGGAAGTAAACAGTACTGAGGTCTCCAGCAGGAAGAAAGCAAAGGTGGTAGGGCAGATGGCAAAGGCGGGGACAGAGACCCTAGAGACTAACACCTCTTCCCTGAAAGGTCTGCAAAGGCAGTCTGGGTGTGAGGCTGAGGTCAGCCATACCTCAGGTTATCTGAGACAAAAATCCAATACCACTGTGGTGTTTCAGAGCACTAAAAATGCTGACCCAAGGAAGCCAAACCCTAACACTCGTTTCCCCTGTAAAAATACTATCTTCAGAGGCAGGAAACCCTTGCTACAAAGAAAGCAGCCCAATCTAACAACTCTTCCATTTTTTAGAGCAGAGGAACTTAATATGGTTACAAACACAATAAGCACCACTTTCCACTCAACTCTCTGCCAGGGCATATGCTAAGATTACATACAGCTGGGCTTGCAGCTCCAGCAGGGAGACAGCAGCACAAAATCTCCTTTAATCACACCCACCATCCTTATCCTATGGCCAGGAGCTGCCAGCATGTGGAGAGATGCAGGGAACATACTTTCACATCTCTGCTACACCCAGACCAGATTCAAATTCCTGCAGTCACTAATTTTTCTTCACGTTAAACATATCTTTCAGCTGGGCTCGGTGGCTCAGCCTGTAATCCCACGCCTTTGGGAGGCTGAAGTGAGTGGATTGCCTGAGCCCACGGGTTCGAGACCCACCTGG